GGCAGCAGCATCAGCAGCGATGGCCGAGTGGTTAAGGCGTTGGACTTGAAATCCAATGGGGTCTCCCCGCGCAGGTTCGAACCCTGCTCGCTGCGGCCCGGATGGGCTTGGGCTTTTTTTGTTCCTGGCCGGTCCTCTCCTATTCTTTGGCGTGTGCAAGTTTTACCGCTCCCGTCTCTGCCGGCTGAAGGCCTCTGCGGCAGCCAGAGCGATTACCTGGGACGGGGCAGGTCGGAAGCAGGCTGAGCCCAGAGCACACGGCAGGAGCGCGGCCGGACGCCTCTGGATTTTGGCCCCTGGGAGAGTCTCCACAGCCTCTCTGGTCAGGCTGCTCTGGTGCTCGGTCACCGCTCTTCCTCGAGTTCAGGGGGGAGTTCCAGTGCAGAACTTTCCGGCCATTGCCTCTTGTCCCGGTGGTCCCGTTGCTGGGCACGAGGATGCACATACACACACACAATAAGTCATTATGCCATCAATAACCATGAAAAACAGAAGAAGGCAGCATTCCCCGGCCTTCTCTAATTGGCTTAAACTTAGCTCTCACCGCTCAGACGGCCCCAGCACTAGTGAGGGGCTGAAAAATTTGCAAAGTCAAGAAAGAAACAGCTGGAAATATAAAAAACGCCATTTCCACAGGGGTCAAAATAGGCCAGAGCAGCAACAACCACTTTTCACTCCTCTCTCCTTTAAAGACATGAGAAATCCCAACACAAACATATGCAAACCCATTTCCTCTAGCATATTTTGCCTGTGCAACTTCATTTAATCAAGAAACAGAGGCAGGGAAAGAAGAACAACAATAAAGAACGAGGGAACAAACAAAAGTTATTTAAGCTGGCAGCAAAAAGAACGTTTCCAAGTGCTCCCTAGTGAGGCTCCCGGGGATTTCAGGCTTGGGTGTTTGTTTCTCTTAGGGCACAACAAGTGCATTGGCAGAGGCAGGCCAAGGATGGACGTGGGGATCCTGGGGAAGGCTCAGATCCCTCGGAAGCGAGAGCCTCCAGCAGCAGCAGGCACCAAAGGCACCCAGACCCAAAGAGCTGCAATAGTCCCTTACCCCTCTGGCCATTCCTGCTCATTCTTCACGTATTCACAGATATCAATCACACAAAGGCTGTGAGGAAGAGGAGGAGCTCACAGTCCTTCACCCAGCAAAAATCTGAGGGCTTTGTGGAAGCTCAGCTGGCAAAGGGGCAGCTGTGACAGTCCTAACAAAGTAAACGTAGTCTGTGGAAGGACTGATGGCCAGAGTCAAACTGCATCTCCTCAGAAAAGCTCTGTCCTTGCTGCCAAGAGAAGCACTTCTGACAAAGCAGCAAGTAAATTGTTTTATTGAAAATGTTGAGAACCACAACACATGTCAAGTGTGAAAAACGAGGTTCACATAATTTTTACAGAATTTAAAAGTTTAATAAAAATGACAATTAGGAGATAAAAACAAAGTATACAGATGTGGCCAGGTGTCTCTGCATTCAGCCAAGAGAGCACACCTTACTGACAAAGGATTGTCCCTTAAAAACAGAGCCCCCCTACATATCCATAAATTCTCATACATATTCATACATTCTCCTTAGGATCTTTGGTGTTCTTCTGTTTAGTTTTCTCTTGCCCCCTTCCCAATAGATCAATCTTCTTGGCGCCATCGAGATTTACATTCT